CAGGGCTGTGTGAGGACTATTTCCATTTTATGTGCAGGACTGTCACAGGGAAGGGAGAGAAGATTGAGCAGACACAGGGCAAGCAGAACCAGAACACATGGGAGAAGCCACAGAGTTGCAATTTTAGGTTTAATTGGTCTGAAACTTCTTAGAATTAGGGTGGTTCAAGATGGAACGTGCAGCTTTGGACATTCCATCTGCTAGTCCGGCGTGTTGAAGAGAAGGCTACCTAACCAGGTGTCGGGATGTTCTAAGGGAGGTTAATGCAAGAGAGTGGGTGTTGGATGGATGACCATTGAGGTGCTCTGCCAGACCCTTGACCCTGTTACCTCCCCTTCTTCTTCATGCTACCCTGCCTTTCACCCAGGTATCTGAAACAGCAGGGATAATACTGACAGCCTCACAAAGGGTGCCTAGGTTGGCAAGAGCAGGCCAGTGCCTTTATCATGCAACTCAAGGAGAAGACTACACCTTGCCCTTTCTGTCATAAGAGGGTTGAGGGTTCTGTGAACCATCATGTAGAAGATGCATTCATCATCAGTTACCATTGTCACAAATGGAAATGTCAAAAATAAACAGAGTTTCTGCTTTAAAGCTAACCATGCAGGGGTAATGATTTTTCCTCCCTCTACCTTCAGAGGGGACAAGCTCTTCTAGTTCTTTCCTGGCCCCTTTGGTGGCAGTGATGAGAGGGCTCTCATAGGCTTGTGGCTTCCCTTCTTTTGATTTCCTTCTGTGCCTTTGCATTTCTGCATTTTGCCTTTGTCCTCGTGGCAAACATTCTGAGCAAGCAGCCCAGGAAAGGAGAGGCTCCACCGCAGGGGGCACAGCAAGCGCATTTCAGGGGTGCATACCAAGGATAGGAGTAAGGATAGGAGTTTGTGGACTTCTAACCTTGGTCCTCTATTGTTCCTCCTTGACTCCTGCAGTTTCCTGCCATAGCCCCTGTTTTGTGTTGAGTGGTATCCCTCAAAAAGAGAAGTCCTAACCCCCAGGGCTGTTGGTGTGATCTTATTTGAATAAGTGTTGTAGATGTAATCAAGGAAAGAAGAGATTACTGTGATTAGAGTGGTGCCTCATGCCAAGACCCCTGTCCTTAGAAGAGGCAAATTTGAAAAAAACAGAACATAGGGAGAACACCACATGAACATGGAGGCAGAGCCCACGGGGAAATGTCTATAAGCCAAGGAATGTCCAGAACTACAGGCAATCACCGGGCTCTGGGAAGGAGCAGGGAGGTTCTTCCTGTGAGAGGACACAGTTCTGTGGTTTTAAGCCCCCCTCTTCAAGGTAATTAGTTATGGAAGTCCCAGGAAATGAGCAAAGCTTCCTGCAATCTTTAGAACTAAAAGGAATTTGCACAGCTCACAGGGAAGCAAATGCCCTGAGAGGGGGCAGCAGTCTGTTCTGGGACCCCCAGTGTGTTAGGGCTGCTTAGAGCTTTGCCTCTGATCCCAGTGCTTCCTTGCTCCAGCTGGTCTAGTGCCCCCCAGTGTGGAAAAAGCCTTCACCTGCCACTCAAGGTACTAGGGAGGCAGACCTCTGCCAGACCGAAGCACAAAAAAGAATGGTGTTTTGGGGACCTTGGGTAAGTTATTCAACTCCCCCATGCCTACTCCTTTCTCTCTGTAAAAGGAAGAGATTGGCGCACACCTCACTTGGCAGGCACAGTGACATATGCAGGTGCTTAGTACTCTTGAGTTTCCTGCTTTTGTCCTGTCATTTAGTGTTCCATATGAACTGCTTTCTGCAGGAGCAGTTTTCTCTCTCTGGGCTTCTTTCTCCCAGCAACAGCAATCTGCCCCCCCCACCCCCACCCCAGCTTTCAGTGCTTAGCATGAAGTACATCCTGCCACAAAGGGATCTCACTGTTTGCTAGACCTTCTTTTTCCTTCTGAGACTCTGGAGTACTTAGGGTGAAGTTTATCTGTCATCATCACTGTGAGGACCCCGCTGGCCAGCACAGGCCAGAGCACTTTCCCCTGTCTCTGTGCGCCTGGCTCAGGCTCTTCTAGAGCTCTGCCCAGAGAGACACCTTCCAGACTACACTTCTAAACCAGCCGCCTTCCATCCTTAGCACTGTTTCCTTTCACCTTATCACCATCTGATATTTTATTAGTTGTTTGTTGATTCTCTGCCTCCCTATGGGCTATAAATCCCATGAAGGCAAACATCTCTGTCTTCTTTACAGTTCTATTCTCAGAAACAACATCAACATTCCCTGTAGATTCTCAACAAATATTTGTTGAACGACTTTGAAATTTCCAGATTTGTCATTTGTCAGCTCTGAAGTCAATGTCCATTCTATAGGATGTTGGGGGAGGAGCATTCAGCATCACTTAAAGTGTCAGAAAGCGGGTCCAAAAGCCTTTTATGAGATAAAAAGCTGACTCTTCAATGCCAAACTGTGGTCTGGGACTCCTTGTGGCAGCATTTCCTTCCAGCTGTGACTTGGCGGTAGGTGCATTGATTCAACCACTGGCTTGTACAGTTTTATGAGAAACTTTCCCACCAACTGGTACTTCTGCCTGTCACCAGTAGATGGGGCAGTTTCACAAAAAGTAAAGTCTGCAGTCTGACCCATTTCTCACCTGACTTTGCTGTGGTTCAGTTCTGGAAGAGCCCTGTGTCTCAGATCTCAAACAGTGCCCTCAGCTTTCCCGGCTGAGGAAACGCAGCTTCAGTTGTGACTTGTGTCTTCAGTTGAATGGGGGTGGCCAGCTTCTTCACAAGATAAGGTGGGCTCGAGAGGTTGGTTGGTCCAGGCTCAGGCCAGGAGGAAGCTGTCCTGTTTCCCTCCTGGGTCTTGGAGCACAGGTAGAAGGCATAACTCACACATTTGCCTAGAACCTTTCTGTTCTTCTGAGGTTAATAATCTCTCTTGTATTAAAAAGGCAGTTGAGGCAGGACATGATCTAGTCACCAGGAACATCTCTGTGGACCTGTACATCTGGGACTGGCCCAGTTGGCCTGTGGATGCCTCCCTGCCACTGTAATTCCCTGCTGTGTCTTTTTTATCATATAAATCCCACAGTGGTGCCTCCTGCAGAGAATGAAATCAGCCTTAAATTTCACTACTGCTCCTCTTTTCCCCTTCCAGAACCTTCTGGCCCTTGGTCCTCTGAGACAGTTAGAAGTGCTAACCACTTAAGTACAGTGTCTGCTTTTGTGGAGTTTTGATTTCAAGATTATAGACCAGCTAAAGATCACTTAGCACAGGTTAATTTGATGTGTTTCTTTCAGAAATTTTTTTCGCTTTGGAAAAGTTACTGTCTACTTCACTGACACTGCAAGATATTTCAGAAATCCGAGAGAAGAGAAATTAATGTTGGTTTAATGGTGTATAACAGTCCCACCTCATTCTGGTGCCATGTCTGGCATCCTTCCATTAACCCATCAGGGCAGCTGAGGAGTAAGGCATGATGGCTCTGGTAGAAGGTCATAGGGCCAGCCGGTGTGAGAGGGCCATTTCTTCCTTCCAAAAGTACAGAGAGTAAGAGGGCCCAAAAAGTATTATGAGGAAAGTTTTTCTTTCATTGTTACAGTCATTGAATTCCATCCTACTCTGCACATGTACATGCTTTTTCATACTTCTATAATTTTGCCATCTTGTATACCCAGAAAGACCTCCAATCCTTTGTTGTTTTGAGAAATCCTGTTCATCTTTCAAACATCACCACCTCCATGGAGTCTTTTCTGATTTTCCTTGTCATAATGAACCTTTTCTTATCATAGCTTCTCTGAGCATGTCGGTCTTTCTGAAAGCATTTAGACCACTCTGTCTTCTTATTCACATGCATGTCTCATTCATAAAAACAACAAACATTTATTGTCTCTTTGTACCAGTCACAGAGGACACAGGGTACTTTCATAAAACCTACCTTGCAGGGGAAGCTCAGACAGAGTTTAGTGGCATTTACATCCTTCTTTGGGCCAGGAGCTTCTTGGGAATGGGATTTGGGTCTACTCTTAGCTCAGGACCTGTCATCAAAAGGTAATTCAGTACCCATGACTCTGATAAACCTGGGTTAGAATTCAAAGAAAGGTTAAAAGATAGCAAATGTAGGGCCAGGGAATTTCTAGGAGCCACAGTGGTTCTTAAATGAAGATCCAAGATCCCCAGTGGCCTGGGCCTAAGAAGAGAGACCACTGTCAGCCTCCACGAAGAGCCAGGGAGTTTGTTGCAGGACCATCTGGACATTTATCACACATTCATAATGTGTCAATGCTATAATAAAACTGAATGACAGGCCTGCCAAAGTAAACTGAGGTCTAACCATATACAGCATTACTTAAAATTGTGCCTATCTCAGAAAATTGCTCTACTTTGAGGGCAGGAAGGGTTATTGCTGGAGGAGGGTGTTAGGAAGCACCTAATTTATTAACTGTATACAATATTGTTCGCTCTAGTCATCTTACCACTCACTTCACTACCAGCTGTTTACCTGTAAATAACTGGCTCCAAGAAAGTAAAAAAACAAGTCTTTGCCTCTCTGTTGTATTATTAATTAATTATTAATTCTGAAAATAATATTAAATGGCACCCTGAGATTCTGAGAGTGCTGTCTCACAAGGGGAAGGGGACTATTTTCCCAGCCATTTCCACAGGAAATTATAGTTCACAATTTCCACTTCCACTACCTCCCCCAGAAGTTTCGATCTAGACATACATTTATTCAGTGAGTTGCAATTCACCCTGGGGGTGGAGTGTGAGAGATCAAGTTCCTTTTGCTGCGGGGTAACCCCAGTAATTCGTGGTTTCTCTATATAAATGAGATACTGCTAAATTTGAGGCATAGTTGCCAGAATGGATCTGTCTTCTCTTTCTCTCGACCAATGCGTGCAACCTTGTCCCTTTAAGAGACCAGAAAACCGTCGGGCGTCGCAGCTCCAAACTGATCCTCTTCTCTGCTCCTCCCCTGTCCCTGCGCGGCGAATGGTTCGTGCCGGCCTATATTTACCCGAAATCTTCCTTCCCTGACGGCAATGATGTGAGGGCAGCCAGCTACCGCTTGCAGGACTGAAGAGGGCGCGCTGCAAAGACCGGCAGCCTACCGTGGAGAGCCCGGGAGTGGAGTTGGACAGTCCTCGGAGAGAAGAAATGAGGTAGCGGCGATCCCCGAAGCCGACCATGCGTGCGCGCCGACCTTGGAGCCCAATGCTGCGGTGGTGGAGCTGGTCTGGACAGTGAGCTGGCGGAGCCTGAGTCCCCGGCATCCCGCTGGAGCGAAGATGCAGTGAGCCACCGCGGGACTGCTGCGCGGGGCCCGCCGCGGCCAGCCGGACCTATCATCTAACCACACTTTGGGCTTGCTACTGATTCCAGGACTTGCTCAGCTGAGGGGTTCTCGGTCTCTAGCACCCCTAGTAGGTGGGGAGCCCTGGACCCTGGGCAAACTGCTGAAGAGTTTCCGCGGCTTCTGGCTCCAGGCCCGGGGTTTGTGTGTGTGTGTGGCAGGGGGCCCTGTTCACGTTGGCCGGAGTTCCTGCAGATTCCCGCACCACCCCGTTGCTTTTGCCGAGGCTCCCTCTATTTATTTGTATGCGCGCATCTCGCTTTTCTTCTGACATTTTCCGCACCACTCTCCTTCCCTTTTCTCTCGTTGTGTTGCTTGCCTGAGACTTTTTGCCCTCGTCCTTGACCAGGCTGGGGTAATTCTGTGTGTGTGTGCCTCCACCCCTTACAAACTCGAAGCTGACTATTTTCCTTAAACAATTCTTCCCCACCCCCTGCGGGGATCCCAAGCACTATCCGTTCTTCCCTGCCCCCCTCTTCCTACCACTGGCCGGCTCCCAGCAGTTTTATCTTTCGGTCTTGCCCGGGCCAAGCCCGGCCGGGGCTGGTGGCTCAGCTGGGTTCAGACCCGGGGCTCGGCCGCCGCCGCCCAGCTGCGCCCGGGTGCCCTCCAGAGATGCTGCCCTGGAAGAAGCACAAGTTCGAGCTGCTGGCCGAAGCGCCGCCGCGGCAGGCGTCCAAACCCAAAGGCTACGCTGTGAGCCTGCACTACTCAGCGCTCAGCTCGCTAGCGAGAGCGTGCCCCGAAGGCGCGCTCAGTCGGGTGGGCAGCATGTTCCGCTCCAAGCGCAAGAAGCTGCACATCACCAGCGAGGACCCCACATACACCGTGCTCTACCTGGGCAATGCCACCACCATTCAGGCGCGCGGAGACGGCTGCACCGACCTAGCCGTGGGTAAGATCTGGAGTAAAAGCGAGGCGGGCCGTCAGGGTACCAAGATGAAGCTCACGGTGAGTGCGCAAGGTATCCGTATGGTGCACGCTGAAGAGCGCGCGCTGCGCCGCCCGGGCCACCTCTACCTGCTGCACCGCGTCACCTACTGCGTGGCAGACGCGAGGCTACCCAAGGTCTTCGCCTGGGTGTACCGGCATGAGCTGAAGCACAAGGCGGTAATGCTGCGCTGCCATGCCGTTCTGGTGTCTAAGCCGGAGAAGGCGCAGGCCATGGCCCTGCTGCTCTACCAGACTTCGGCCAACGCTTTGGCGGAATTTAAACGCCTCAAGCGGCGGGACGACGCGCGTCACCAGCAGCAGGAGCTGGTGGGTGCGCACACTATCCCGCTAGTGCCCCTGCGCAAACTGCTCCTGCACGGATCTTGCTGCTATAAGCCGCCGGTGGAGCGGAGCCGCAGCGCGCCCAAGCTCGGCTCCATCACCGAGGACCTGCTGGGCGAACAGCAGGAGCAGGAACTACAGGAGGAAGAGGAAGAGGAGCACCCTGAGGGCTGCCTGGAGGAAGAGGAGGAAGAGGAAGAGGAGGAGGAGGAGGAGAATCGTGTGGGGGTGGAGGGCCCAGCAGAAGAGGAGACCGAGGCACAGAGGGCACTGGTGGTGGCCATGCACTTCGAATGTGGGGACTTGCTAGACACCATGGAGAATGGGCGCGAGGAGATGCTGGGGGGCGGCGTCGTCTCGCTGGGCCCTGGGCTGGGGACTCCACCTCCGCTGTCGTGCAGCGCCTCAGACGTGAAGGCTCAGCTGTCGCAGATTATTAACGACCTGGGAGAGCTCAGTTTCGGCAACGATGTGCGCACCCTGCAGGCAGACTTGAGGGTGACGCGCCTGCTGTCTGGCGAGAGCACTGGCAGTGAGAGCTCCATCGAGGGCGGAGGCCCGGACGCAACCTCCACCACTGCTGGGAACAAGTCTGGCTCCGCAGACAGCTCCAGCCCCGACGAGCCCCACTCGGGTTGAGCTCCCAGCAGACTCCTCGGTGCTCCCCTGGCACCCCACAGTGGCTCCCCAACCGTTGTTCTAGCAGTCTCCCAATTCCTCGCCTGCATCCAAGGGAAATCGGGCACGTGGGGCCCTGTTCCTGGGTTCCCTCTGGTCCTCCCCATCCACCCCGCGCCCTAACACTTTTTGCTCTTTTGGAGGCGGCTCTGGTTGCGAGTGGGGATGTGGGAGATGTGAAAGAGAAGAAAACCCTACGGAGGAGAAAGGGGTAGTCTTCTTGGTGGTGGTGAAGAGAAGGGCCGCTGAAGTTCAAAAAGTCCAGGAGGGCAGTGTGAGGTGCCTGTCCGCCAGTTTCCTGTTTGCTAAGCAGCTGGGGCCTGAGGAGGAGGGGTTAACTTCCTCCCTCAACCCCTCACTGGGCGAGGCCTTGCCCTGTCATTGAGATATCATTAAAAAAAAAAATCTCTCTCACAATGTTTAAGGTTTAAATACCACCCTTTTGCACCCAGTTCTTTTTGGTGAGAGAGCTTGGGCTGTTTACCTCAGACTCAGACTCTTGAAATTCTGCCAAATTCCTCAAATAACTATTGGGGGGGGTGTTATGAAAGAAAGCGGCATTTTGTTTACAGTTAAAGACATCTAATATCTAAAAAAAGAGTTCTCCTTTAGAGTCACATACACCTTCCTCCTGCCCCAAATATCTCACTCCATGATGCTGTGTAAAATATTTTTGCACTGTTGTGAAGTATKTTTGACATTTTTTGTACATAACTGTGTTCTCAGAGCTGAATGTTTATATCTTTTGCTGTGCAAAAGAAACATGTAAAATGTTGTTCAGTTGTATATATGGAAATGTGTATAAAACATTTTGTTATTTTTTGAGTAGCACTGCTCTGGTTCTGTTGGCATGCCATGGGGAAGAGAATAAATAGGAAAATTTAACAGAACAGGTGAGCATCTGGAACTGCTACAGGAGGTGCTCAGATCCAAGTTGTGCATGGTCTTGGGCCTTTCTGGAGGACACAACTCTCAGTGCTGTGTCTGGGACCCAACAGTGTTCCATATTCTTCATTTAAATTGTTTGAGCATGGGCTTTCCCTCACCTTTTTGAGCTAATTTTCGGAGAGGTCAGGGTGAGCTCCATTTCCCACTTTCAGACCTGAGAGGTTATGTGTGGAGGAGTGACATTGAGGTCTGCTAAGGTTTTGCCACCTCTTCTGTGGGTTGCCTTAATGATCAAGAATAAGGATACTGCCTGATCTATTCCCTTACAGTCAAGGAGTTTTAGAGATGAATTCCAGACCTAAAGGAAGTTGCCACGGGCTCTCTGAGGAGTGGGGCAGTCTCTGCTTTTCCTGAGAGGAAAACCAAGTAGAGAGAAAAGTTGTAAGTTCCAATCATGTGTGAATGAGTCATGTGCAGGTGGGGTGGGGGTGGGTAGCGGCTTGCAGAGCCCGTTTCCTTCCCCTCTACAATCCAGCCTGGCCCAGTGGGAATGGTATGGAGGGCAAGGCAGAGGGGCTGTTACAGAGCTTGGTCTGGGTGTGTGTTGTAGGGTTTTCATTTTTTCCTGTGCGCTTGTTTCTGTTGTAAACTCCCAACAGATGTCTCTAGTTGGGCTACACCCGATCAGCTGGAAGTTGTAATAAGATGCTGCCACAACTGTGCCTTCTGCAATTTATTTTTCCCCTTTGCCCTTTTGGGCCTCCTTTGTTATAGAAATGGATCTCCCCCCCCCCCACCTTCCCTGATGTTTTGCTTTGTTTTTATCATAAATGTGTTCTGAGCAGTTAGAACCAGAGATCCCAAGGAGTCTGGAATTCACAGAAAACAGAGAGGAAGGGAGGGTGAAAGATTTTTTTCCCCCTAATTAGTGGGAGTGGTTCAAGAATAAGACTGTCTTTGGAAGAAGAAAAACACCAAGGGGATGGGTGGGAAAAATTTTTTTAAATTTTTTATTTGTTTTAATTAGTTATACATGACAGTAGAATGCATTTATGCACTTTGATATATCATTCATAGATGGGATATAATTTCTCATTTTTCTGAGTGTACATGTTGCAGAATCATATTGGTCATGTAGTTACATATATACATACAGTAATAATGTCTATTTCATTCTACTGACTTTCCTATTCCCACATCCCCTCTCTCCTCTCCCATCACTTCCCTCTACCTAATCTAAGGTAATGCTATTCTTCCCTAGTGCCCCCCACCTTACTGTGAATTAGCATCCACATATTAGAGAAAGCATTCAGGTTTTGTGGGATTGGCTTATTTTGCTTAGCATGATATTCTCCAACTCCATCCATTTACTGCAGATGCCATAATTTCACTCTTCTTTAAAGCTGAGTAATATCCCATTGAGTATATCTACCACATTTTCTTTATTAATTCATCTATTGAGGGACACTTAGGTTGGTTCCATAGTTTAGCTATTGTGAATTGAGCTGCTATAAACATTGACATGGCTGCATTACTATAATATGCTGATTTTATTAAAAAATATTTAGTGTCTTCTTAAGGACATTGGGATATGGGCCAGGCCTTTGAATCTGTTTTATTTGTTTTGGAAGAGTTCCTATTCCTCTCCCTGAATACCTGAGATACATATCGTTGAATGGCGATTTATTTAATTTAATTTATTTATTTATTTGTGGTACTGGAGATTAAATCCAGAGGTGCTCTACCACAGAGCTACATCCCTGGCCCTTTTTATTTTATTTTATTTTGAAACAGGGTCTTGCTAAGTGCTGAGGCTGGCCTCCAATTTGTATTGCCTGCCTCAGTCTCCTGAGTGGCTGGGATTACAGGTTATGCCACCATGCCCAACTTGGACCATACTTCTAAATGCCTAGTAGAGATCAGGAAGGTCAAAGCCAAGTCTACCTGCATACCCACATTGATGTGGCCTTCCACATCAGCAGATAGCTGTGTGAGCCATCATCATCTTGTAGGACTATATCTCACATTTCCAATTATTTCCACACATTGCCAACTCCACTGCTGTTCAAAACTTGTGAAGACCACAAACAGTGGATATAATATGGCTGATGCTTGGGAGCCAAGCAGGGTGTGTCTGTTTCATTCTTATCCAATTTATGTGTCTGGTGAGAATGCCAAGGTTGGCTTTCATTTGTAGTGAATGGGGGTATGGTTATTGGTCAAAAAGCTCAGACAAATTGCATTTAAATCAACACCTTCAATAAATATAAGTCAACTGTCTTTAAAGTCTGATTTTTCCTCTGATACGATTTATAAATAGAAAGGAGGGATTCAAGGAGGAGGAAGAAGAAGGAAAACAGACTGCAAACTAACCAGCTCTCTTCTTCCCTGACCCCTAGTACTCTCCTTCTCTCCTCTTCTGCCCTCTGCTTTTTGGTTCCTATCTCTACTGCACACTGGGGCTCTTGACAGATGTAATTCTAGAAGAGATGTGAAGGTGATACACGATTCACCTCTTGTTGCATCTCAGTCTGCCAGGGACTGTACCTGAGTAAGAAGAGATGCTTCGAACTAAAAGAAAAAAAAAAAAAAAAAACCTATAAACTAATTTGCTTCGGCACTCCAAAGAATAAGAGTAGTGTGACAAAAGCAAAGCTAAGTAGTCGATGAAATATATATTCCAGAAAGCACCTGCAGTTTGGTGTACTCATCCAATTTAGCTCTTACTTCCCGAGTTTCTCATTTACATGACCTGCTGGTACTTTAAATGCAGTGAGACACTTTGCACATTCTTTCCCAGCCTAACTAATCCTCCATGTCCAACAGTGCAGCATTGACTGCCTGGTGGTGAACGAGGGAGGGACTTCCAGCAGCAGGAGAGATTGTTGCAGAGGTGGCAGCATGAGGCCAAGGAGCAGGAGTTTGTCAGCCTCTTTGCACAGACAAATTAGTCTCTACAATTTGTTATGTATGTGGAGAGGAAGGAGGGAGGAGTAGGATGGTATGAACTCTAGTACGGCAGACCCTATGGACGATGATTGCTTCAGAGAACAACCTCTCCACGCACACACATCCTCTTCTTTAAAGTAAATGTGCCTCTTGTTGCCCCACACTCAGCAGCCCAGAAGATTTTAAACAAATTAGAAGGGCTCTGTTATACTAAGAAAGCAAAATTCTTTCCCAGGGGGACACAGCTATGTTTGAGGGTTCTGCTGGTGAAAGGAATGTGAACTGGCTGGAGAATCTATCCTTGGCTACACAATGGAGATTTAAACATCTCATTAGAGTCATTGAGGATCAGGAGAAACATAAAAATTCTATTAGGAGTAAGTTGCCCTCTTTTCTAACAGGATTTAGTAATTTAATAAGCAGACCTGTTTCCTCTGTGTGGCAGGCATCAGTAACCTCAGCATCTGCTGCTAAGTGATGCATGACAGAGCAAGAAATGTTCGTGGACTGCTGGGGCCAGGAGCTGAGGCCAGGGGCCGAATCAGACACATGGAAACTACGCAGGGCCCCAGGCATGCAGGAGGTTTTTTGCATACAGCCACATCTGGATGGGCTTTATTGTTAGCCAGGGCCTTTTTGATTCCTGCTGGCTCCCCTGTTTAGAACCCTGGGTTCCTGGGACCGAATCCCTACTGCCAGCTCAGAAGTGACCCAGTTTGAGCAACTTTGACTAACCACCATTTTGGTGATTTGAATTACTAGGTGTCCCTGGAGTTTGGCACTTGTTCCCTCTTCTCTCTTGGAATGTTCAGGCGTACCAGCAAAGGTTCTTATTTCTAAGTCCCATAAACAGTGGCCCTTCTGATAGCCTTCTTTTCTGTCTCTCTCCTCATGTCTCTTCCATCCATTTCCTTCTGTTAACTCATCTTTTCTCTCTTGCTTCTCCTATCATTTCTTCTCCTTTCCAAAAAACTTGTTCAGATCTTAAATCACCTGAAAGCCCAACTATTATTATTATTATTATTATTATTATTATTATTATTATTTTAGGAGTTGAGGATTGAACCAGGGCCTCCTTACACATGCTAGTTAAGTATTCTACCACTGAGCTACACCCTCTAACCTCTGAAAGCCCAAACTTATTTTTTATTTTTGATACCTGGGATTGAACCCAGAGGATCTTATCCACTGAACCACATCCCTATCCTTTTTAATATTTTATTTAGAGACAGAGTCTCTCTGAGTTGCTTAGGGTCTCTGTAAGTTACTAAGGTTGACCTTGAACTCATGATCCTCCTGCCCCAGCCTCCCCAATAGCTGGGATTATAGACATGTACCACTGCGCTTGGCTGAAAGCCCAAACTTTCAAGGAAAAAAAAATCAAGTACATTGACATTAGCCAGCACCAATTCTGTAATGCATGCTTTAAACCTGTCCCACCACCTAGAGATGAAGAAACTGACAAGAGGTGATATCCTGCCCAAGGTAACATAGGAAGGACCAAGATCCAGGGGTCTAATTCTTAAACTAATTCTTTTTCTTTCTTTCTTTCTTTTTTTACATGCCTCTGATTTTTAGGAATTATAATTCAGTTTTTAAACTTTGGGATAGCAGGAACTGGCTGTTGAATTGTTCTTTGTTTCCCCCAATTTTTTCATATTTCCATGCTTTCTACACAGTAGAAGCTTGATGGTAAGTATTTATGATGCTGTCAGTGTGCCTTTCCCTCACCATGTATAAATGAGTATGTACTGGATGTGTGATGCTGGGGATAGAGAGGTCAGGTGTCTTTCTTCCTAGGGGAAAACGCTGCTGGTGGGTGGGGTGGTAGCCCCTAGAGGAACTTGATCTCCTGTTGCTTCCACCTTTGAGATCTGGTCTAGCCAGACTCTGCCCTAGAAGAGCAGGTCTAGGTCGAGGGTGGGGGAGCTCTTGCCATTGCCTCATGGTTATTAGTCATCTGTAACCTTCCTGCTTGGCTGC